GTAATTTAGTTTAAATTAATTAAAAGATTGCTCATATATATGTGTATTTCCAACGAGGATTAGTTGAGTTGTAAGGTCTATGTTTGAATTCCATTGCAACCAACCATTTTTGGTGCACGATCTATAAAAACAAAAAAAAGACTAAGACCCCTTGTGTAAGCTCTCAAGAAGACTTGTAATATGCTCTGACCTTGATGGATTAGCTTTCCTTTCCCCTAACTTTTACAAATCAAATATATAAATCAGTTATTTAGTAGTCACTTAGTATAATGATTAAATAGTTTTCATTTTGATTTGTAAGTGAGGAGAATTTTTCAGTTTGTTGTGAACACTGAACACGACTCGATACACCAAGTATCATAATAAAATAGTTTGAATTTTTTTTTAAAGTTTCCAACTAATTGTATTATTACAACGTGTTTCTAGTAAATTAAAAAATCTCTCATAAATGAGAAGTTTTAAGTTCGATTCTTGTCAAGGTGAATTCGAACCAAATTATTATGACTCTTTCATTGTGAAGTTTAATTCACTCCCTCCATCACTTAATGTACATAATATCATATTATTAAAAAAAACTATTTATTTAGTAATTATTTTATTTTATTATAATCTAAACTACCTATTAACGAAACTCTCTTAATCAATCAAAAGAGAGCGCAAAGACCAAATTAACTCAAATAAATTAATAAATTAAAAGTTATGTAGAATATAGTAAATTACACACAAAATATTTTTAATTTTTTTTTTTCAAATGTCTTATAACCAATTAACCATATCAGTTGCCTTGTAAACTTTTAGTAAAGAAATATTTATTCAAAACTAGTAGTCAAGGATATGAACAGTCTTATTTCGCCACGCAAAATCATTTGAAGATTAAAAAAAGTAAAAATTAGAAATCATTTTACATTTTCTCTTTTTATAAATTTTTACGGTTGCTAGTAATATTCCACACGCGGATAAGGCCAATAAGTTAATCTCAACTGAACTCACTTCCCAAGCACCCACCGCCACCGTCGCCGCCACCAAATTCCCAAATCTCCACCTGGAGCCTCTCAGTTTCATCCTCCTCTGCCTTGCTCAACTCTATCTGCTTGTTCTTCTACTGATTTCCTCTCTCTCCCCAATTCCCAATAATAAATGTAATCCACTCTCACTGATAGAGCTCTCATCAGTGACCATTTTTATATTCTAGGGTTGTTGGTGGGTGCCTCTGGGTTTTTATTCTGGCCCCCCCAAACAAAAGGCACATCCTAGATTTGTAGGATCCTCAACCGTGATTCTGAGGATGGGTCTGTTTTCTGAAACCTACAGTACCAAGCATGTCCTTTTATTATAGAAATAGAAAGTCTTTATCTTTCTCCCTCTTCAATCATACAAAGTCTCCTTATTTTTTTGACTTTTTTTCCATTTTTATCCGGACCAAAGCTTCCATCGTTACTTCAAATGTAGTCCTACAATTAAAGGGTACCCTTTGTTTTGGTTAATTAGTCAGTGTATGTTGTTCTTGTTTTAGAAGTTTAGAGAGAGAAAATTATGGGATCTGGTAATGAGGTTTATTCAGTTGCGGATTTCAATTTGGATGCCAAGTGGCTGATCGATCCCAAACATCTTTTTGTTGGTCCGAGGATTGGGGAAGGCGCGCATGCCAAAGTGTACGAAGGAAAGTAAGTCAAACCTCAGTACAACCTCTATGTTTGTTTTGTATTAGATTCTGAATTTCTGGTCTCTCAAGTTTACCAATTTATTATTATCTCTTAGATCTTGTTAAATATAAATGCAAAATTGAGTTGGGTTTTAGCAGAACCAATCAAAGATCAAAAATTGCTTTGGTGTCGTGCAATTCTGGTGTTTATGATGCCGAATATTTGTTTTTCGTGTCGAGTTACAACGATGATGTTCTGTTCTGTTGTGTTCTTAAATCTATTTGTTTGTTGTGTTTTGTTTGTTCTAGATATAAGAACCAAAATGTTGCTGTAAAAATTGTTCATAGAGGAGAAACCCCAGAGCAGATTGCCATGGTCATAGTGACTGAGCTTCTTCTAGGCGAACTTTGCACAAATACTTGTTCAGTATGCGGCCAAGGTGCTTGGACTCGTGCGTGGCAGTTGGGTTTGCGCTTGATATTGCTTGTGCTATGGAGTGCTTACATTCCCACGGCATCATTCACTGTGACCTGAAATCTGGTATGTGGTTTAGTTCATTGTTTAACATAAAGGTTGACCTTTGAACGAAGTCACTTAGCTCGACGTTAGGAGAGTCAAGGGGGGAACGCCTACATAGAAGAACGGAGAAGGATTAAAGTGAAGTCTATCTGTGGGCATGTCTCAAATATGGAAATCCGAAGGATTGTTATTTAGCATTAGGGGAAGCTGATAGTTTAGTATTCAGCATGATTGAAGGCTGCCGTAGCAGAATTAACTTCGGGATCACAAAACGAATTGATTTAGTTCACGTAACTGTCATTTCTTTGGCTTGGGGATGGAACTATTGTTAGGGCGAAGCTTATTTCCGGAAACAGGGTTTGTTCCACAATCTTACACTTTTATCGTGTCCTTTTCCCAAAGAATTTGATCTTGACTGCCGACCAAAAAACAGTCAAACTTGCAGACTTTGGCTTAGCAAGAGAAGAGTCATTGACAGAGATGATGACCGCTGAAACTGGGACATACCGGTGGATGGCTCCTGAGGTACGGTACTTAACTTGGTCATTCAAAGGTTGAAAATTTGTTTCTCATATATCTTGTGAGTGTTTGATATCAGCAAATTAATTTTCCACCTTTGTATTTGGTGACAGCTTTACAGCACAGTTACATTACGGCATGGAGAAAAGAAGCATTACAATCATAAGGTGGACGCTTACAGCTTTGCAATTGTATTGTGGGAACTCATCCATAACAAGCTGCCTTTCAAAGGCATGTCGCATTTACAAGCAGCGTATGCCGCTGCTTTTAAGGTAACAAAATACCACAATGGTCTTATTCACAACTTGGTACCTTTTAAGCTTCGTAATATGAGGTTATACGAATTGTTTCAGAATGTGAGGCCAAGTGCTGAAAGCTTCCCTGAGGATTTGGTGTTGATTGTAACTTCATGTTGGAAAGAGGATCCCAATGACCGGCCCAACTTCACCCAAATTATACAGATGCTGCTGCGTTACCTCTCTACTATTTTGGCACCAGCACCCGCTGTCCCTCAACTGATATTCAAATCTGAGAACGCTGTACTCCCACCAGAGTCGCCCGGTACTAGTTTTTTGCTGTCACTGTTGAAATTCGGATAGTCGTTAGGTTTAGTTTGGTCCGATTGAGATCAAATAGAAAGGAATTTTTAGAGTTGTGGAGTTGGGGTTGCTGTGATCATAAATCTAATCCACTCACTGAAAGAGTTCTCATCAGTGGCCATTTTAGAATTGTGGGGTTGTTGGTGGGTGCCTGTGGGATTTTATTCTTTGCCCCCTAAACAAAAGGCACACCCTATATTTATAGGATCCTCAACCGTGATGCCGGGGATGGGTCTGTTTTCTGAAACCTACAGTACCAAGCAAGTCCTTTTCCTTTTATTATAGAAAGTCTTCATCTTTCTCCCTCTCCAATCATACAAAGTCTCCTGATTTTATTACTTTTTACCATTTTTATCCAGACCAAAGCTTTCATCTTTGCTTCAAATTTAGTCCTACAAATAAAGGGTACCCCTTGTTTTGGTTAATTAGTCAGTGTATGTTGTTCTTGTTTCTTGGCATCGGTTGATCAAAGGTGTTTAATTGTTTTGTAGGTACAATTTTGTCAAAACTAAAGACGGCAAAAATCTACTACCACAATTAGTTTCTAGCTTTAATTCGCGTAAACTCCTTATTTGATCATCAAAAAATTAACGATTCAGATCATAAGATGAAACCGTGAAGTGTGCTCAAGCGCTAATCAATTAGTAAGTTGTTTGATCACACTTTACCACTTAATCTCATCTTAATCTCATGATTCAAACAACGATGACATATCCCGCATTGATGAAATATCAATAGCCACATTGTTGACATGTTGACATATTGACAACGAATTGACATATTGGTGAAAAGTCGTGCGGAATATTAACATATCCATATCTGTAAATATCAACAACGTATTAATTATACGTATTGACATCCCATATCAACACAAATCTACATATTATCAGTAATATAGACGAAATATTACATATCAATAACTCTCCCGCTCCATGAATAGTGGAGCAGGGTATCTGCTGTGAAGTGCTCATGAGGTTATCATACATATAATACGATATTTCACTAAAAATGCAAGCTAGCTAACTACCACCGTAGTTCTACATAGAATGCACATTTTTTGGCGTATAAAATATTGGATTGAAACTAATAAGTTACTATTTTCAATGCATGTTTAATTAAGGAAGAAATAAAAAAATTACGGTCAACTTGAAGATAGGAGATCAATTACTCTAGAAGAAAACTTATTCATTCCAATCTCTCCAAAATGAGAGGATTAGAAGGAAAAGTTTTACTTCATGTTTAATCAATCATCTCAAATATTCCTCTATGCAAACTGCGCATGTGATGATCTTCTTATGCAACTGACCTTTCAGACGAGAGAAGAGAAACCATCATCACTTTGATTTTGTTAAACAATGTTATGTGTGTTTTAATATTTTTCATGATCGCATCAATCAAAATGGCTAAGAGATATTGTTGCCTATCACACTAATATTTAACAGAAATAATAACTTTATTAGTTAACACTAATAAAATTGTGAAATGTCTGATAGAACTTGGGAGTAGAAATATAGAAGGCAGTGAAAAATTTAAGTTCATATCAATCCTCTGCAAAAATGATTGATTAAGAGCTAGCCTACATCTCTTATTCAATGAATGCGTACGTGGAAACAATTAAACAAAATTGTTGAGCTTTGAACACCAAATTTAAAAACAAATAGAAAAATTAAGAACTCGTTCTGAAATTACTTGAATTACTTCAGTTGTTTTCTAGCTATAGCTACTTCACACTTGTTAGACTGAAGCATGCTGCCGCACTCTTGAGATCATTCTGTGAGACATGTTCGATCGATTGCGTGCCCTTGAACGATGATTCAGCACTGCATATAATTAAATTTAATTTGTAAGCAAAATTGTAGCATAAAATCATCTAAACTACGGTACTGCAGAAAGGGAACACTGATCTAGCCAGCTAGGCTAAGTGGAGGTTAGCAATTAGACAACATATAGTAACATAAATCTCAAATTATAGAAGACAATTAGTTAAACATTGTACACACCTAGACTCACAGGCTTCTTTAGATTCGATATACGATTGTCGATCATCAGCAATTGTATCAAATGGAATGTCATCATAATCATGGGGAACATCCATTTCTTGGTGAATAGGAAAGGCTTGTGAAGGAACCAAATTGGACTGAATAGCCATAAGTTGTTCGACATTGTTATCGTCATAATAGGGATGTTGAAACCTAAGAGGTTTTACCATATTATCATTTTCGTCAATATAAACCCCATTAAGTCCATTTGCAAGATACTCATTAGCCACCCAGGGCGTTCCACCACTGCCACCAGAAGCATATTGATACGGATATTGATGTTGTTGATAAAGTGTCAGAGCCGCCACATCGGGGTTCGTAGGTATACCTAGCTGCAACTGCGATGAAGGACACGAGTAGTGCTGCGGGGAAGAAGGCATTCGATATTGACATTGATCCTTGCAAATTGCAAGATGCGTTCTCACATATCGAAGCTCTTCTTGGGCTTGCTGTAACTGGAAAGTCAATTGGTTTATGATGCCCATACATCCGGTGACTGGAAATTTGGCACACATATTGGATTCATATATGATCGATCTCATAGCCTCCTCCCTTTTCTCAGGATGAACTTGCTTTAGAATCTTCATTATGTTCGCAACGCCGTACAATCGGTGGGCGTTTTGAAACAGCTTCGGTTGATCGGGCGGAAAGTGTGGAGCAAGAGCGCAGTCCTTAGCACACTTTCGTCTTTGGTATTTGCACGCAGCACAGGCTTGGCTTGTGCCTCCTTTTATCGTCATTGTAGGGTAGAATGTACATTCATCAACCTTTTTGGTGATCATCATTTAGGGTTTAATAACTTGATTGGAGAGAGGGAGAGGAAGAGAAATATAGATGCAAAGATAAAAGTGATTGGAATTATAAGGCTGGAAAATTGATGGAAATGAATAAAAATATGCGATATGGCTTGGTTTTGATCGTCAAAAACCAGATTTGATCGATTGCGATTAACGAGAGTGAGGTGGATTAGAAGACCAAGTAAAATTTGAACGTTTCTCTATTCAAAAGTAGATCTTGTTGAACTGATTTTTAAGTATCTCGGGAGTCCTATTTATACACAGTTGCACGGTTAGCTTAGGTTGTTTGGTAATTTTCTACTGTATATATTTATACCTGGAAAATCACCAGTATACCCCTTTTCACTTTGTTGTGATAGACGTGAGCTAACCATTGTAACTAAAGCTAGCTAGTTGTCTTGGATGAGATCAAGTATGTGCCAAAATAAAGAAAAAAGAACTAAGGAGAAACACCATCCACAAATTACAACAAAAAAGCAGTCCATGCATGGTATAAAGTAGGGTGTGGTTAATTTTTTGTGGACTCAAAACAGTTTGTCCTATATTTTACCTTGCCTTTGGCAAAGAGTTAATTACCTTGATTATTTCTTTTAATTTTTCTTCGGTAAAGAGTGAAAAAAATCGATTGTATAAGTTTGACAATAATTAGAACTCTGAAATTCTAGTTTCCCTTCATTATTTGAGTCCTGATATTTTAAAGTCCTCAAAATGAGGATATGTGAGGACTAAATTCATATTAACTACAAGATTATAGTAATTTGGATCCAAAGGCTTAAAATTCATAACCATTAAAAGACATGTTTTCTTTCTCTTTGGTCCCACAATCACGATGGTCTCCTTCATTTTAAGCTGGTTTTGCTTTATTAATTTGTCAAATATTTAAGTCTTTAGATCTAAACTAATATAATCTCGTGACTAATATCCATTTGGTCCTCACAGATCCTCAAAATGGAGACCTTAGGAGAGTAGGACTGCATTTCTTTTGTCTCACATTTGAAAAGATATGAGATAAGTACATTATAAATCAAATTGTATGTATGATCATGATAATTGAAATTGAATATTAATGAACCATTTATTTATTGAAAATGTCTCAAAATGATCCATTTACAGAGAACTAAACTCATTGCGAGGCTAAGCCTACCCTCTTCTTCTTAGTGTAGATAATATCACTTGTTAAAAAAATAAAAAAGCATCTTCTACAATTCTAACTCGTTTCGACTCTTTATTTGACGATTTTTCTATAAATATATATGTTCCACCTTTTATTCAAGGGAACTTTAACGAAAAGATCTCGGTACTGTTCACTTTAACGAAAAACCACATTTTTACACTAAAAAGTTAATCATGGTACTATTCACTTTACCCTTTATTTTGTTCTTATCTTTAAAACTCAAAGTTTTCAAGTCATTTTCATTAGTTTTCCTTTTATTCAATCCATAATATATATATATATATATATATATATATATATATATATATATATATATATATATAAGTATACATATCCGTCCAACTGCTTGAAGGAGTATAATCAACCTAATTAATTAAGGATATATTATAGCTTAAGTAAAATTTGAATAGGGTTTGATCATCATGTGAAGTTGAGTGCGTTCGAGAGGTGGAAAGTGAAAGATTTGGCGGCCAAGTTGTATAAACTCCATAACATCCACGCAGTATGTTTCCCGTAGACAACTGCAACGATAAAAAAACGTACTATAAAATTGTTTAGGAAGTAGAAATTGTGTGGACGGAACCAATATAAGCCAAGAGAATTACCCCGCATCTATCTTCTATTATATCAACTAATCATTTTTTCTCCCCCCCCCCCTTTTTTTTTGGCTCTTGATTAATTAATGCCTTGTTTGAAATTGCTTTAAAATGAATGAAAATGTTTTTGAAACCAATTTTTAGTAAAAATTTAAGTGAATCTTGAAAAAGCATTTGATGTGCTTCCTGAAAAAAAAAGCATATAGCACAAATCTAATGCTGGTTCCTTCTAATTGATGCTTTTGAAAGCTAAAATCAATTTCACCAAAAACGTTTTTAATCATTTTAAAAGTATTTCCAAATAATTCATAATTAATTGATTCTAAAAAAAGTAATTGTTTGTAATAAAAAAAATACTAACCACGCATTTTTTTATACAGGTACTTCAACGCTAAATTCATTCAAATTATGCAATTTAACTAAGCTCAAATCTATAATTTACCACAAATTGATGTGTGTTTTTACTTTTACACGTACTGGCTTTATATAAATTTTCATTAATTTCATAATTCGATCATAACCATCCCTTTACTTGTATTGTATGCCTCTCCCTTTCAGTTCCTCAAGTGCTGCCTCAAACTTTTGGCCATATTTTGCCTCTAATTCCTTCTCTTCCTATTCCGTCTTATTTTCTGATTCTTCCATTGAGCACCGCCACCGACGGCAATGCGTAAATTTGCAGCCGATTTTATTTGAGGTATAAATTAATTCAAATTTATATACCCGACGTATTTTTGCTCAATCATGCATGCATGCATGCATGCATGCATAACCCTAATTATCTATATAATTAATACGTTGTGGTTAATGATTCAGATCAGTGCATGCAATAACTGTATGGATTTTCTCAAAAAAGCCAAGGTGGTACGATTTCGAAGCCACCAAAACAAATACCTATTAGCCGATGACGATCAAGTGTCGGTGTGGCAGAACCGCGAGGGAACGTTGCAGAACGCGCGGTGGACGGTGGAGTTAATTAGCGATAATCCAAATGCATTGCGATTGAAGAGCTGTTTCGGGAAATACTTAACGGCGTTAAGCACGCCGTTCATTCTAGGGATCAAATGCAACAAGGTCCTGCAAACCACGCCAAAGACGTTGGATCCGATAGTGGAATGGGAGCCGGTAAGAGACGGGTTCAAGTGGAAGATGAAGACGGCGAACGGGCAATTCTTGCGTGCAAGCGGGTGTAACGTGCCGCCTTGGAAAGACACGATCACGCACGACAATCCGTGTAGAGGTGTGATGAGAGATTGGGTTCTGTGGGATGTGGAAGTTGTGGAGATTCGTGAACAACAAGAACAAGAACAAAGGAACGTTGATAATGTTAATGATAGTGCTAGTTGTTATAGTACTACTGCAACACAAGATCCAACAGAACCGGATCCACCGTCTGTTTCGCGGTCGGAATCTTCACAAACACAGCCAGACTCTCCAGCCGGCGTTGATCTTTCTTCACCCAAAGATCATATATCGGATTCGGATAAAAAAAATACATAACATGACGTTGGAGTTTGGGGTTATTAATTAGGAAATATGATATGTATGCAAGAAAATTAGGGTTGTACTTGTATGATTTGTATGAATGATCAGATGATCTTCTATCTACAAAATAGACTAAGTTATATATTTACACACACGCAACACATAGAAGACTTCTCTCTCTCTCTCTCTCGCCTAACCCTAGAGCAAAATACACAGAACTATTCCCAAGCCGTCGGCCCTGCCTTTGGCTTGGGGTCGGTGGCAAGTTGTCAACCCACCTTTTTCCCTCCCCATCCCCTCGTCGTTCCCTTTACTTGTGAGCTTTTGTGTTATAAGGTTCCTTTCTGAGCTTTTGTCTCAGCGTTTTCCCTGATCTCCGTCTCAGATCTCCCCTTCCTCCACTCGCTTTTGCCTTAGATTTCAAAATCCTTAACTCTGAAGTTCGTTTCTTTCCGGCCCATGCACCATGATTCTCATCAAGCATCACTCCAATGTCCACCCTTCCCACTTGGCTTAGTTTCTCCATCCTCACTCGTTAAAGTCCTCTCCTCTCCCTCGGTCCAACATCAACCCATGTCTGCAACTACTCATCTTAAACGCGAGTTGACGCGTATTTCTCGGTAAGTGTGTAGAGTTTCAGCTCGGATGTTGCTTGTGGGTTGGCTCTGTTGCTTGTGGGTTGGCTATTACCACTGTTTTCCTCTGATTTGTGGATTCAGTCTCTTAGGTGCGATTTTGGAATCAATAAGTGCGAAGTGCCCATTCGATCTAGAACGAAATCGGAGGATTTTGGAATTTTCTTGACAAAAAACAAAAAACAAAAATTTTACACACGCACTATCACCAATCAATTGGATTTTGCCTTATGTATTACCGTTTCTATTAAATGAAGCTAAAATCCTCCAATTGGATTTTGGATTTTGGATTTCAGCTAAGTTTTTGTGTTTGGCTGAAACAAATTTCCAAAAATTGATTAGCGATTAAGGAAATTGACTGTAGTTTCTTCAATATTACATTTCTTTTTAAGATAAAAAAAATCTCATTAATATTGATTGTTGATGCACAAAATCAGCGAAGACTTTGGTACAACAGAAAGTGTCAGGTTTTGTGACCTTCGCTTGGTTGCTTCGGTCACTAGTGAGGATAAGTACGTAAATGAATAGAGACAGAGAAGCAAACACAGGATGTACGTGGTTCACCCAGATTGGCTACGTCCACGGAGTAGAGGAGTTCTTATTAGTAGTGAAGGGCTTACACAAGTACAAAGGATCAAGCTCTCAATTTAGTGAGTTCTTGTGAATGATTTAACACAAAATGGCATTCGGCAATATTGTGGGGGAATGACCCCTATTTATAGAAAAACTTGTAGCTTTGTCACATTGACATGTGTCATGTTATGATTGGTTCTTGATGTCGACACGTGCTGCGCTTTGATTGGCTTCTAATCTTGACACGTGTCGAGTAGTGATTGGCCTCCTGGTCGGAGGGGAACTCTTCTGGGTCCTTGACAGTATATAGCGTTGGCCGGTGCTCGGTAGTTTCGGGATTGGTCAAGTATGGTACAAACAGTGCTCCCCTAAGTTCCCGAGTGAGGGAAACTCCTCGGTTGGGGACTTGCAAGATCCAATCCCTTGAGTAATCACGAAACTTCTAAGTACCGAAGTGTGGTCTGATCTTCATCTGCCCTTCTCTGGAAGTACCTTTCCTCCATCCGGGAATGGTGTATTTAGCTGATGTTGACGCACAAGGTAATGTATCAATTTCACTTGAAGCTTAGTTGTAGTTTCGGGCTTAGTCAAGTGTGATACAAACCCTATAGTAGGAGTCCCCCCAAGTCGCCGAGCTAGGAGATCTGCCGAAAGAGGTGACAGACAAGGTAAGCAGTCAAACTTCCAAGTAAGCAACCCAGGATCAGAGGTTTGACTTCGGCTTCCGGTTGATTGTTCTCCTTCTCCTTGTCTCTCATTCAACTGCCAGGATAAGGAGAAGCAAATGGATAAGAGATGATATGAGATACTTTTGCTTTTGAAGAAGTAACTTTCCACAGGCTTATTCTTGAACTGTGCTGGAGGGTTTTCTGGTGCCCTTCAGAGTATAAGGCCGACTCAAAAATTTGAGGGTCAAAACAAGTCCATCAAATCTAGAGTACGTTCGACCTTGATGATATGGGATACTTTTGCTGTTGACGGAATAATGAATGTGGTATGGAAAGGTGTCGTGCTGTAGTGATCTGTTTCAGCTCACCGTTGAACCTTCTGCTTCAATCTTTTGCATGGCAGAAGTGGTGTGCAACCTTTGCATTTAAATGGTCCTTCAGAACATTCCTTCATAGTGACTCATCCACGCTTGGCAGCTTCAGTGTAAAGAGCCAATATCTGATCAACTGTCATGAGGTATTTGCCGGTGGAATTCGTGACCTTGACAGCAGTTGAGGATGAGTACTCGAGAGCAATGCTAAGTAAGCAACCAGGCAAAGGCTCCAGGCAGTCAGTTCCAAATTGGAGGTTTGATTTCAGGTTCCGACTGACTGCTCTCTTTCTCCTTGTCCTGCAGGTGTGGACAAGGACAAAGACAAAGACAGGGAGAAAGCATGATATGGGATACTCTTGCTTTCGACCCTGATGATATGAGATACTCTTGTTCTTGGTGTGGCTTATTTGCTGAGGTATTATCGGGGGGAAATAAAGCTGAGTATTTCGAGAGGTTATGTTGAGGGTGCCTTTTCGAATGCGAGAAAGGGTTGAGCATTTTTGCAGGTTTTTGCCTGTCCGTTGAGGAGGGAGGTCAATGTATATAGGGATTTCCCAATAACAAGTAGTAATGCTATTCCTTTACCCTTCTTGGTCACAGCAATGTAGTGGGAGCTGCCAGCTTCACGTGTTTTAATTTTGTCAGAGCACTTTGAAAAAGTGGTATGTGGTATCTGGAAAGCTGATGTTACGTGTGAAGATTACAGACAAGCTTTATCTAAGGAAATCTGGCTCTCGAAGTTCTGAGAGTTGTGCCTCTTCGGTTTTCGAACAAGCAATCCCGTCGAGGATCTGACTCTCGAGATTCGGAAAGCGTGCTACTCCGGTTTTTGAGAAAGTAATTATGTTGGGAGTCTTTTCTCGAATGTGAGTAAAGGTTGGACGTTCTTGCCAACCTGTCTTGCCGCAAAAACACGGAGGTCGACACACATAGGGACTTTCCAGTTGTCAAGCAGTGGTGCTGTTCCTTTACCCTTATGGGTAATAGTAGGGTAGCTGGAACTTCGAAATTCTCGTGCCTAAACTTTGTCAGAGATCTTTGACAAAGTTATATGTGGTACCCGAGGAGTTGATGGTGCATATGGAGAGCGGTGATTGAACAGTAAGATTCACGTGCTTTCTACTTCACCAGAAATCTTCGACAGATTGCCCGTAATTTCCGCAAAGCTGAGTGTGCATGTGACAGGTGCTGACGAGGCTGAAAAAGCAGGTGCTTCTTCGATTTCTGAGATCGGCCCTCGTGGTCTCTGAGCAGCCCAGCTTTTGAGAAAGCAAACGCCTCTTCGATTTCTGAAGCTCCGTCGAGTGCAGATTTTTATAGAGGCTGGCATTAAGTTCCACAGCACACTTGAATCTCTACCAGTAGAAGCTCATTTCTTGCACTTCTAAGATCTTGATTTGTCTGACCTCTTCCTTCTTCAACACATTTGAAAATGTCTGGACCCTCCGACCGTCGTTTTGACTTGAACCTTGGAGAAGAGACAGCCACGCCTTCTCCAGACAACATATGGCGCCCATCCTTCATATCCCCTACTGGTCCTCTTACCGTTGGGGATTCTGTGATGAAGAATGATATGACCGCTGCAGTGGTGGCCAGGAACCTTCTCACTCCCAAAGATAACAGACTACTTTCCAAACGGTCTGATGAGTTGGCTGTTAAGGACTCTCTGGCTCTTAGTGTTCAGTGTGCAGGTTCTGTGTCTAATATGGCCCAACGCCTATTTGCTAGAACCCGCCAAGTTGAATCATTGGCTGCTGAAGTGATGAGTCTCAAACAGGAGATTAGAGGGCTCAAGCATGAGAATAAGCAGTTGCACCGGCTCGCCCATGACTATGCTACAAACATGAAGAGGAAGCTTGACCAGATGAAGGAATCTGATGGTAAGGTTTTACTTGATCATCAGCGGTTTGTGGGTTTGTTCCAAAGGCATTTATTGCCTTCGTCCTCTGGGGCTGTACCTGGTAATGAAGCTTCAAATGATGAACCTCCAATGCCTCCTCCTTCTGGGGTTTTGTCAAGTACTGAGGCTCCGGATAACCACCCTCCGGTGCTTTCTCTTTCTGGGGCTCTACCGACTGCTGAGACTTCCCCTAAGCAACCTTTGTGAAGGCTTCCTTTTGTTTGTTTATTTTGACTCATGTATATGTACATATTTGTGGCTTATCGAAAAATATTAATAAATAAGCTTTGCTTCATTTCAACATATTGTGTTAAATACACCAAAGCCTTCTTCATAAAGTTCTTTGAATTTTTTGCTTTTGTTGAAACCTGTATTGTTGAAGCTTTGTGAGTGAAGCATGTAGTTTGAGGTAGTGTTCCCTTAATTTCCCGAGTGAGGAAAACTTCTCGGTTGGAGACTTGAAAAATCCAAGTCACTGAGTGGTTGTGAGACTGCCGAGTGTCAAGGTGCAGTAGCATATGGTGGGAGTCCCCCAAGTCTTCAGGCGAAGAGAGTTGCCGAATGAGGTGTCTAGCTAGTAGTCAATGTCATGAGTAGGAAAACTTCACTTGTTTCTTTTCGAAGTGGTAACCCAGGGCTCGTTCTTCATATATTGTTTTTTTTGTTATGAAGATGTGTTTAGGCCCAAAGAAGTGGAGGCCTAGGCCCTTTTTTTTTTTTTTTTTTTCTTTGTCGACTGAGTGGGATGTTTTCAGCTGAATCCAAATAGGGGGATGTTTTCAGCCGAATCCAAGGAGGGGGGAAAGCATGACTCATCATCATTTGTCATGATGTTGTTCCCACACTTCATCATCATGTACTACTTTTCCTTTTCTTCTTTCATAATATGCCATCAATGTGTTTAATTTTCTTTTGCTTTGCCTTTCCTTTTTGGCTGGAAAGATTGCCATCTTTCCTCACAATCGGATTTGCTGCAGTCTTGTTGAAGGAAATGTGGGTGTTGGAGCTAGGTAAACCAAGGAGGGTGTCTACGTAGAGGGAGTGGTAGCTCTTCAATATAACACCATTTTCTGTGGCTCAAATCGCAAAACCATCTTCATGAAAGTTGTTCCTTAGCTCGTGAACTACAACATATCCGAATTGGAGATCCATCGGAGCAGTACAACTCCAGAAATTCAGGTATGATGAGTGATTGTTCGTCATTTGTATATCAACGCGTCAGACTTGTTGTGAGCTTCAAAAACTCCATTTTCTCTTGCTCAGATCAACATACTTTCTTCATCGAAGTTGTTCCTTAACTTGTGAACTACAACATATCCAAAATTGAGATCCCTCGGAGCTGTATAACTCAAGAAATGCAGGTATGATGAATGACTGGTTATTATTTTTCTGTCAACCCGTCAGATTTGTTGTGAGCTTTGAAACTCTATTTTCTCTTGCTCAGATCAGCATGCTTTCTTCATTGAAGTTGTTCCTCAGCTTGTGAACTATAACATATCCAAATTTGAGATCCCTCGGAGCTGTATAACTCAAGAAATTCAGGTATGATGAATGACTGGTTATTATTTTTCTGTCAACCCGTCAGATTTGTTGTGAGCTTTGAAACTCTATTTTCTCTTGCTCAGATCAGCATGCTTTCTTCATTGAAGTTGTTCCTCAGCTTGTGAACTAAACATATCCAAATTTGAGATCCCTCGGAGCTGTATAACTCAAGAAATTCAGGTATGATGAATGACTGGTTATTATTTTTCTGTCAACCCGTCAGATTTGTTGTGAGCTTCGAAACTCCATTTTCTATTGTTCAGATCAGCATGCTTTCTTCATTGAAGTTGTTCCTCATCGTCTCTTTCATAACATATCACAAATTCAGAATGAACTAATGGTTAAATATTTCCAGATCTTCGACACATCACAGCAGCTTCGAAATCTGCAAGAATCCGACTGTCATGTTTGGAGCTTCAACACCTTAATTTCCGTCGCTCAAACAGAAATGGTTCCTTCTTGAAAGTTGTTCATATGCTCAAAAACTATAGGGTGTCCAAAATTCAGCTCCATTGGAGAAGAGCAGAGGTTGCAGAAATTTGATAGATGAAAGGAGGCGGAAGAGGGCATCTTGGGTTTTGTGAACAAAATTTGTTTATTTGGAGCAAGGTTTTGTTGAAGCTTTGTAGGTGAAGCTTTTGGAGTGAAGCGATGGTGAAGCTTTGTAGATGAAGCTTCTGGGTGAAGCGATGTAGGTGAAGCTTTCTAGGTGAAGCTTTTTTAGGTTAAGCTTTGTAGGTGAATTTTTTTTTAAGTGAAGCTTTTCGGGTGAAGTTTTTTGGGTGAGGTGAAGCTTTTTAGGTGAAGCTTTGTGGGTGAAGTTTTTTAGGTGAAGCTTTTGGGTGAAGCTTTTGAGGTGAAGTTTTTTTGGGTGAAGCTTTTTTAGGTGAAGCTTTTTGGGTGAAACTTTTTGGATGAAGCTTTTGGGTGAAGTTTTGGAGGTGAAGCTTTTCGGGTGAAGTTTTGGAGGTGAAGCTTTTTGGATGAAGCTGTTTTTTTTTTTTTTTTTTTTTTTTTTGGCGCTTGACACGGTCTTCATTTGCTTGTTTGTAGTGACTGTGGAAGACGGATTGCTTTCTGATTGAGAAGGTTCCGGCATCGCTTTGCACCATCTTCATGTGGGTAATATAGGAACTTCCTTATGTTTTGATCATGCATGTAGTGATAGAATTTGTTTCTTCTTATTGTAGATGTCAGAGCCTGGAAGTTCTAGTGATGAGGGCTCTTCTAGCTTTAGCTCTAAGTCTGAGTCTGCAATGTCGGAGTCTTCAGGGTCTTTGTTAGAGTCCTGTACTAGAGAAACATTAGATGATCTTCCCAACCGTCGAACTTTAGCTATTACTAGTTCTTCCTCCATGGCGTTGGGTGAGGGGGTTGTTTTTGATGCCATACCCATAGTTCGCTCTGAGTTCACAGCAGACCATCTAAAGAATAACTTGTTAAATAATGAGAAGCAGGTTGAGGCGCTAAGGCAGTCATGTAATATCCCTCGTAGTGTAGGGATACGTTTGGTACATGATGAAGAATGGCCTTCTGAGCCTCCCCAGGGTCATGTTATGTTCTACACCCAGATATTACTGACTTTAGGGGTGAGACTACCTTTACATCCGTGGTTGCAAAAGATGTTATCTTTGATCGGATATGCACCTGGGCAACTCAATCCTGGTTTCTGGGATACTTGATTGGATTTTATATCATTTGGATGGAGTGGTGGGTTGTGTTGAGCCTTCCTTCCATCAGTGGCGTTACTGTTACAAGATGCGCCCAGCAAAATCATGCACTGGTTATGCCGAGTGTGCATGTCGGAGTGAGAGAGCGTATTGTGTATGGTAAGAAAAAGGCATACTACACATGGAAAAAACCGTTGGTGCTTTCTGTATAATGATTGGAGTATGATAAGGGTGTCACGCCTGAGCGACGTGTGCTTACTCACTTCCAGACTGTAGGTTGTAATGTATCAACCGTTCGTACTATTTGCTATTTGTTGTGGTCTTTTCTTGCTTCTAACACTTTGCTTCATGTAGTGACGCGGGGCACCATCAAACTGTTTGGGCAGGAGCTATCTGACATAGAAAAGGTGTTGAGGGTGCCCAAAGAGGATAGACACTTAAGCAAGCTACGACCCTTATTTCGTCGGTACGGTTTCCAACCCTTAGTTTCCGAGAGCCAGGGACGATCGAGTAAGTTGTATCCTTCATGTAAACTTTGCTCTTTTCCTTACTTTATTTGGAAAGTTGTATTTCTTATTTTGATTTTCCTTATGCAGTGGAGAAGGTAAGCAAGAAAACAGGGACTAGCACCCATAAAAGGAAAGCACCAGTGTTAGTTCCTTCGGAAGACATCCTACCGCATAAGAAAATTCATAAGTTCCGAGGGGAACCATCCGTTAGACCTAAGTCCCAAGATGGGGTCCTTAAGGGGCCTGCCTTTAGGAAGACTGGAGTCGAGGCCGTTGAAAATGCTGCTGCCGTAGTTGCAGGAGAAGGGAGCCGACTGTTGCCTCCTCCTCTTACTATGGAGCACACTGTCCAGGAAAGTGATCCTGGTTCCCGCCATGAGGGGAAAGGCAAGGAAAGAGCTGGCAGTGTCCCGTGGAAGGACTTTAGGGTTGCACGCGGCCAAAGGATTTGGGGATATCAACAATTGCTTGGCAGGGCGTCGATTCGCCTTCGATGAGCTCGGAGAGCCCTTAGCTAAGGATGAATCAGATTGCGACGGATGTTGAAGCTGTCTTCATATTGTGAGTGTTACTTTGTCATTTCTTACTTTTTCCTCTTTATTATCATTATTTAGGTAGTGATGATCATCTTGCCATGCAGGTCATGGCCGAGTATCACGACAGACTGCAAGAGGTTGAGCGGTACAAGGCAAAACTGAAGGAGAATAAGCAGCTTGTGGACGAGGCCCGAAGGAATAAGGGACTTTTGACTCAGGCTCTCCAACTGAAGGACGAAACCATGGAGAGCTTGAAAAGGCGAAATGGTGAGAACCTAAGGCTTAAAAATGTTTGAGGCAACTAAAAAACAGTTGAGGTGGCTACCTTGGAGGTATCCCAAGGTTAGGGAGAATTGGATGGTGCCTTAGTTGAGATTTCTGAACTGGAGAAGAGCATTCCAAACTGAAAGGGAGGCTGCTGTGCAAGAATACTTAAGTTCTTCGACCTTTCATCTTGCTATTAAACCCTACTGTGCTCAAGAAGCTCGCTTTGAAAAAAAGGAAATGGATGGCCGTCCTTGATCGTTATGATGATGGGAGCATTCTTCGAAAATACCACGAAGATATAGATGAGCATCATCGAAAGGGCGAGACATTTGTCCTTGCTGTTGATCCTAGCAGCGAAGATGAGTCTGATAATGAAGGTAATGCTGATGCACAGACTCAGCATGGTGAAGAGGATCTTGGGGATGCAGAGGATGATGGTAGGATGCGGAGTGATACTGCCAGGGGTTCGGCTTCAGATGAGAATGAATAGCAGTGTCTTTACTATCTGCATGTATTCTGGATGTAGTAGTCTGATGTGTGTATAACATGTGCCCATGTTATAAGCTTGAGAGTTTTGGATTTTAGGTGTTTATGAGTGTTTGCACTATTATTAATGCATGTTTGGCTATGTATGAATAGATCTATTGTTTGGATATAAGCCATTGTTTGGTTGTTCCTTTCTTTGTATAGTCTTGTCGACACATACTTAGATTTTTTTCGTGTTGATATATCTGCTTTGAGGTTTCAACACTTGAGTGTTCCCTTGCTAGGAATGTAAAAGAGTGAGGGCTGAGTTGGCTAAATTACCTCTTTATTGAATTCATTGCCAAATGGCCTTCATTACATAGGATGCCGAACGGCTATAGCTCAACACTTGTACATCGTGAGTCTATTTGTAGTAGTACTTCAAGTGATCAGCGTTCCATGGATGGCCAAGGGTCTTGCCATCGGAGCTTCTAAGTGTGTAAGAGCCAGGGCGACTGATGCCAATGACTTCATACGGTCCATCCCAGTTTGGACTAAGTGTGCCTTCACTCGGGACTCTGTCGCAGAGTAATCTTTTCTTTAAGACCCAGTCTCCTATTTTGAAAGAACGAGGCTTGACCCTAGAGTCATAATAGTTGGAGATGCGCTGCTTGTAGGCGACATTCCTCAAGTGAGCTTGGTTTCTGTGTTCCTCGACTAAATCCAAGTTGAGGGTGAGTTGTTTGTCATTTTCACTTTGAATGTAGTTCTGGACTCGGAATGTTGCTTGCTCGAGCTCAACAGGGACAACCGCCTCTGTGCCAAAGGCAAGTGAGAATGGAGTTTCTCCTGTTGAAGTCCGATATGAAGTGCGATATGACCAAAGAACTTGGGGTACAAATTCTGGCCAACAGCCTTTAGCTTTGTCCAAGCTGGTTTTCAAAGTGCGCTTGATTATTTGTTGATGGCCTCAACTTGTCCATTAGACTGGGGATGAGCTGGAGAGGCAAAGCATAAGTTGATGTTGAACTTAGAGCAGAACAACCTGAACTTCTTGTTGTCAAACTGTCGCCCATTGTCAGTGACTATCGCATTGGGAATGCCGAATCTACAAAGGATGTTCTTCCACACGAAGTCTTCTATCTTTGCCTCAGTAATGGTTGCCAAGGGTTCTACTTCGGCCCACTTTGTGAAGTAGTCCACTACAACGACTGCGTAACAGACTTTGCCCTTCCCTGCCGGCATTGGGCCGATCAAATCAAGTCCCACTGGGCGAAGGGCCAAGGGCTGATCATAGGAGTAAGAGGCTCTGGAGGGGAATGAGGAATAGTTGCATATCGTTGACATTTGTCACATGAGCGGGATACTTTGATGGCATCCTGGTGGAGTGTTGGCCAGTAATATCCTTGGCGAAAAGTCTTGTGTGCTAGGGACCGAGATCCAGCATGATCTCCACAGACTCCCTCATGTATTTCCCGAAGGATGATTTCCGCCTCGGCAGGCGTAAGACACCTTAAGTATGCAGGCTAAAACCTCGCTTATAGAGTTGATCATTGATGATCAGGTAGCGGGTAGACTTGTATCGAATTTGCTTAGCCTGGACTTTATCATTTGGGAGGGTGCCATGAGCAAGGAATTATAGATCGGGGTGATCCAACTATCCCCCTGTTGTAAGTTGCATACTTCTGCGGCCATGGTGCTTGGTGCTGCCAACAGTTCGACATGAATTTTTCTTCCAATCTTGTCTTCCACAGCTGAGGCGAGGCGAGCCAGGGCTCTGCATGACTGTTGCCGCTCGAGGAACTTGGGTGATCTGGTAGTGGAAGTGTTGAGCAAAAGTTGTGTTTGCGCAAGATATGCTTCATGGAGCTGTCCTTAGCATCAAAGTTGTTGGTAACCTGGTTGACCACTAATTGGGAGTCACTGAAAATATCAATTTGTTTAACCCGAGGTGTTTGCCAAACGTAATCCTGCTAGAAGGGCTTCATACTCGACCTCATTGTTTGATGCCTTGAATTTGAAACGAAGAGCATACTCCATTGCTACTTTGTCGGGCGTAGTCAAGACTAGTCCCGCTCCACAGCCCTGTTGGTTGGATGAGCCATCAACATACAGACTCCATGCTGAGGTCGTTGATTCTACTTTCTGAGCTTCCGATGGTAATGAAGCTACTGCGTCAGGTGTAGAAGCAATGTCAACAGGATATGAAGTCGGCGATGAAATCTGCTACTGCTTGACCTTTTTCGGCTGGTTTTGGTTGGTAGGAGATGTCAAACTCACCCAATGCTATCGCCATTTGATCATTCGCCCAGACGTGTCAGGATCTGGAGTATCTGTCGAAGAGGGTGATTGGTAAGCACGATGATGGGCGTGTGCTTGGAAATAAGGGCGAAGTTTCCGAGCAGACATGACCAATGCTAGAGCTAATTCTCAATGTTGGAGTATCGTGTCTCCGCATCTTGTAGGGCCTGCTAGCGTAGTAGACGGGCCGTTCGAACCACTGTCCATTCGAATAAGAACAGAACTGACTGCTGAAGCCGAAACCGAGATAGAATGATAGAGAGTGTCACCAACTTCTGTTTGGAGAGCAGAGGGGCTTTACTTCATGTACTCTTTGAGGTTCCTGAATGCCTTGGCACTTCCTCCGTCCATGTAAGTACTTCTTATTTCCCTTGAGTGCTTTGAAGAAAAGAGCACATCTGTCGTGGCCTTAGAGATGAAATCTGGTTAAGGCTGCCACTTGCCAGTAAGGTTTGGATGTCTTTGAAGTTATTGGCTCTTTCATTCGAGGATTGCTTTATCTTTCAGGGTTAGCTTCAATCTCGTTGGCTAATCATGAAGCCTAAGAATTTGCCAGAGCCCACGCCGAAGGCACATTTGTTGGGTTCAACCTCATTCGATACCTCTTTAGAAGGTGAAAGTTTCAGATAGGTTGGTGATTGTTGGTCAGCATGTTGCTTTTGACTGCATATCATCAACGTAAACTTCCATGTTCTTCCAATTTGTTCGGCGAACNGCTCTTC